CGATTCAGGATAGAGTGAGAGATAAACTTGCCTCTCCACTCCCCAGTGATGCGAACTTAAGAATAATATTCAGCCAGAGCCTATAGCTGTGGTTATAAAAAGAAATCAGTTGGCAAGAACGTGAAACTGGTGTCAGAAGGTATTCTCCCTGGACTGACCTATCTCCTCCCTACCTCCGCACCTACACTCACCTTTACTGGCTCCATCCATGCCTCTTTGACCTGCCTGCTGTGTTCATCCAGCCCTGCACCTTGTTGTCTCGGATTCTCCAGCATCTGCAGTTCCTACTATCTCTTTGACCTGTCTGTCTCCTCTCCACCTATCTTCTCCTCTATCCATCTTCTACCCACCTCCCCCTCTCTCCCTATTTATTTCAGAACCCCCTTCCCCTCCCCTATTTCTGATGAAGGGTCTAGGCCCGAAACATCAGCCTTCCTGCTCCTATGATGCTGCTTGGCCTGCTGTGTTCATCCAGCTCTACACCTTGTTATCTCAGATTTTCCTGCATCTGCAGTTCCTACTATCTCAGAAGGTATTCAGATATGTTTGCAAATGAATTCAATATCGACATACTTGGCTCTTAATTTCAAAAAAGCATCATATTTGAAATGGCTTTATGTCAAAACTTAAGTATAAGAGTATTTCCTATTCAAGCTATCTAGTAGATACACCAAAATTACTTAAAATGTTAAATTATTTTTCTGTTAATCAATCTTCTTCCTTTCCTAACAGTATTTTTAATGTGACAGTTTACAAATGCGACAGACAAATTTGAATGTCATTATTGTACACAATCAAAATAATTCCCTTCATACTTCCTGTTTGTAATTTGATCTCGTTCAAACATTTGTACAATATTAGCATTTGTTTACAAATGACATTAGCATCAATCAGGCCTGCTATTGCAGTTGTCATGATGAAGCCAAAAATTCCTTAGAATTTGGCATCAGGATGGAGAGAACATCTAATCATGACATGATTTACCCTGAAAAGTAAATGCTTATGAATATAATGGAGAACATTTTGGGTTCAGCAATACTGCAGTTAATTGAGATTATTTGAGCAAGTAAATAGTTCGGTTCCAATGAACATGAGAGTTATATGGCACCAGATTGTTGAATTTAAGATTGACTGACTGGAAAATACTGCATTTCAAAGTAGCAATGACAACTGTTAAATACCGTTCTATTAAGAAAATGCAAGTTATATTTTTGGGCATCACACTCGGAATTCTGCTCAGGAGCCAACTTTTCCCCTCTCACCTTCAACCTATGTCCCCTTGCATTTGAGATTTCAATCATGCAAAATACTCTCTGACTATCCAGCCTGTCCATGCCTCTTTAAATTTTATATGTTTCTAGCAGGTTGCTACACAGCTTCCGATGCTCTAATCAAAGCAATTCTAGTTTGTCTGCCCTCTCCTTGTAGATAAAACATTCCAATCCAGGGAATATCCTGATAAACCCTTTTTGCACTCTCTCCAAATCCTGCGTATAATGTGCTGACCAGAACGACACACGGTACTCCAAACGTGGCTTAACCAAAGTTTTAAACAGCTGCAAGATGATTTGCCAACTTTTATACTCAATTCCCCAATTTGTGAAGGCAAACATGCTGTATGACTTCTTTGCCATCTTATCCACTTAAGTTGCCACTTTCAGGGAGCCAAGGACTTGGACCCCAAGATCCCTCTGTATGTCAGTGCTCTCGAGGATCCTGCCATTTACTGTAGACTTTCTTCTTGCATTTGACCATCCAAAATGCATCACCTCACACTTGTCTGGATTCAGCTCCCTCTGCCATTTCTCTGCCCAACTTCCCAACGGATCTATATACTGCGGTATCTATTGATAACCTTCCTCACTATTCACAGCTCCACCAACTTTTGTGTCATCTGCAACTTAAGAATCAGACTACCTATGTTGTCATCCAAATCATGCATATATGTTTCAAATACAGAGGTCCTAGCACTGATCCTTTGTGGAACACCACTGGTTTCAGAACTCCAGTCAGAAAAATCCCCATCCACAACTACACTCTTTATTCTATGACCGAGCCAGTATTGTATCCAACTCACCATGGATTCCACGTGACTTAATGTTCTGGACCAGCCTACCATGAGGGCCCTTGTCACATGATTTAGTAAAGTTCACGTAGACAACATCTACTGCCCTACCCTCTTCAATCATCTTCATCAGTTTCTCGAAAACTCAATCAAGCTTGTGATAAAGCTTTCCTGACTATTCCTAATAACTCAATTCTTCTCCAAATACAAATAAATCCCATCCCTAAGAGCCTTCTCCAATAATTTCCCTAATATTAATGTAAAGCTCACTCATTTATAATTTCCTGGATTATCCTTGTTGCTCGCCTTAAACCAAGGAACAACTTTGGCTATTCTGCAGTCTTCTGGGACCTTGCCTATGGCTAAGCAGGATGCAAAGAGCTCTGTTAAGACCTCAATCATCCTGTAGATCATACATACTGTTGCCACTGCTGGAGAGAATGAACAATTAAAGATAGTGAAAGGGGTGGCAATCAAGTGGGCTACTTTATCTTGAATGCTGTTGAGTTTCTTGAGTGTTGTTGCAGCAGCTCGCATACAAGAAAACGGAGATTATTCCATCACTCTCCTGACTTATACGTTGTAGTTGGTGGAAAGGCTTTGGGCAGTCAGGAGGTAAGTTACTTGCTTCAGAAGTTCTAGCCTCTGAACTGTCTTGTAGCCATGGTATTTATATGGCTGTTGTCAAGTCTATTTTCCTCTATAAAGTGTACTATAAGAATTTCCAAAGTCTGCAACCCCCATTGCAGTCATTAGTTTAGTACTAATTACCACATTCACTGCAGAGATAAGGTGATATTACATAGGTTGGTTTATAATACCTGAATCGTGTGAACGATGTGTTCCAATTAATTGTTTTGTATTCAAATTTTCTCAAAAAGTCAGGAACCATGAAATCTCTGTGCTATATTTGAATTTATAATGTATTGATCATCATTTTAACATTGTAGTTTCATTGTAGTTTTCCATGTTCTTGAAATTTAGATACAGTGGTTTATGATATGCCAGAGATAGTGGTCCTCAGGATAACAAGACACACATATAGATGGCTCATAATTTTTGGCCTCCAGTTATTCAATTTTTAATCAAATATTTAAGATTTCGAATGGTACAATGTGACAAATATTTTACAGTAATGGCAGGAATGTTTTTGTACAGAGAGAAGAAACATCCCCCAAAAGACAGAGAGGCATTCTCTGAGAAGATTCCAGTATTTTCTGAATGCATCAAAAGGGATAGACGAATTGATGAAGATTCTGAGGTATGTAGGAAAATCTCACCTCGGAAAAGTTGCCAATTGTCTTGTTATCTGATGATCTGGAAACTATGCTTTTCTTTTGCTAGCTCTGCTGTAGTAGTTGCCAAGGAGAAGAAAAGCATACATCTTGCACCTTTTTATGTATATTAGCTGAATATGATTGGATTATCAAAATATTCTTGTCTCTAAATTTCTGGAGACAACTCAAAAGTATATTCATGCCTTACGTCATGCAGTTACTTAAATGGAAAGGCGTTCTGATGAAGTGCTGCGGAATCCTTAGTGTTACATACAACCACCTGTGTCAATACTCGCAACAGTATTTCAAACTTTAAAAATGAAACTTTGGATAGAACAGCCACTGACAAGAATTTACTAAATTTGGCACCAGGACTTGAAAATCAGCAGCAGGGGTGAAGTTCAGAACTATAAGTTGATCCAACCCACTGCTACGTCTTGCTCAGAAACTTGATGGGAATGAAACCCTGGTCTCACACGTTAACAATATCAAAACTCTGTAGGACTATGCAACAATTGGAGTTTACAATAATAATTTTAATCTGTCACATTTTGTAAAGAGCTTCATGGAGGGTTTCAATGATGATGGATTCAACATCTACTTGGACTGTGATGACCTCTGAGTGCAAACGAAGCAGAAATACCTCGTAGAGTCTGCTGTGGCATTATGAGAGCACTATCATAAAAATGTGATCTTTTAAATTAAGTTCTTAAGGCGTAGTGTTTAATGACTCTCATATTGGAAAGATGTTTTAATTAAACTTTAGATAATATCATATCTGTTTCAATTGCAGATCTTGATCGTAGCTAGTGTGTGGGCATAGCTAGCAAGACTGACCTTTAGAGCATCCCTAATTGCTCTGAAAATTTAGTGACTCTTCTCAGTGAACTAAAGCAGTTAAGTTCAACAAAGTGGCTTGCTAGGCCATTTCAGAGAATGGTTAAGAGTCAGCTATGTTGGTGGGGACTGGAGTCACAAATAGACCAGATTAAGTAAGGATAGCAGTTTCCTACTGTACAGGATATTGATGAGCTAGTTGACAATATACAATGATTCTGGTGATCCTGATTTTCTAAACCAAATTCTCAAACTGTAACATAGAATCATAGAATCCCTATAGTGTGTAAGCAGGCCATTCAGCCCACTGAGCCCAAACCAACTCTGAAGATCCACCCACCCAGACCCACCCTCTACCCTATCCCTGTAACTCTGTATTTCTCATGGCTCATCCACCTACCGTGTACATCCCTGGACACTTTGGGCAATTTAGCATGGCCAATCCACCTGACATGCACATCTTTGGACTGTGGGAGGAAAACCAGAGTACCGGGAGGAAACCCACGCAGACAGGGGGAGAGTGTGCAAACTTCACACAGACAGTTGCCCGAGGGTGGAATCCCTGGTGCTGTGAGGCAGCGGTGCTAACCACAGAGCCACTGTGCCATTGAATTCCCATTCCTTGGGCTGTTAACCCAGGCCACTGGATTACTAGCCCATTCACATGACAATTGCATTGTTGTTTTCATGGCAACATACATCAAAATTACTTGTTCTTTCTGCTGTGAAATCTCATTCCATTTTGATTCTTGTACACGTTTCTCTATGATAGGTAATTAGGCCTTTGACATGTAACAGCGTCAAGAAATACCAGATATCAACGCGAAAAGGTAGAGAGCTTGATTTTTACATTGCTTTGGACTAAGACTGATAAAGAATAAGGTAATTTTCCAAATGGATTTAAAAAAAATGTCAATAATCCCCACAATATCTCAGTTTATTAGGCTGAATACATTCTCAATCTAAATCTTGAAGTGCCTTCAGCACACAGTCCTAGCATCATGGATCTACCTGGAGTCTCAGTGCAGCTTCAGAGCTGGTTAATCAAAAGCTGATATGATTTTCTCACTTTGGCAGTTCCAGGGAAAGTGTCCTGGAAAGTACAGACCACTTGACTCTGCCTTCATAGACTCCAGAAAGGGCTTTAACACACTCTTCAAACTGCTGCAGAAAAGTTCCTAATGCCTGGACTCCTGGTCATCATTTCATCTTTACACAAGAACATGCACAGTTCTTTCAGTTACAATGGAGCATCAACACAGGCTTTCAAAATCAGCATGGGGTAAAGCAGGGCTGTGTTCTGGCATCATTGCTCTTTGATTTCTTTTTCTTCATGCTCCTATTGCATGATTTTGGTGACTCAAATTATGGTATTTATTTGCGTGCTAGAGCTATGTAAGCCATTCAACTTGGCAAGACTGCATGCCAGGACCAAAGTGCATAATGTCCTGGAGTCAATAAATGTGGAGCTGGAAAAGCACAGCAGGTCAGACAGCATCCAAGGAGCAGGAAAGTCAATGTTTTGGGCTGAAACCATTCATTAGGATTTCCCTACTCCTTGGATGCTGTCTGACTTGCTGTGCTTTTCCAGCTCCACATTTATTGACTCTAGCTTCCAGCATCTGAAGTCCTTACTGTCTCCAAGTGCATAATGTCCTAGTTCATGAGCTGCCACTTGCTGATAATTCCAGCCTGGCATCCCACACTGATGTTCACTGAGAAACTTGTAGATAGATTCTCTTGGGCCTGCAAGGAGCTTGGACTGACAATCTGTGTCAGAAAAGTCAAAATTATCAACCAGGATGGAGAGATTCTACCTTCCATCAACATCAACAATCTCACTCTCTATCAGCCAAATAGCCTCCATTCTGCGTGGTTATGATTTGTCCTTTTCTGTGCTGATCTCTCCATTCTTTTCACACTCCAATTGTAAAGAAGTTCCATTGACTCTGCTGCAAAGAAGGGTGGTCTTACAACAAAACAAAACAAATCAACACTTTCATGCACATTGTATCAACAATTTTCAGCAAACTATCCTTCTAGATGCTGAAATCAGCACCAGGATTGTGAAAGCTGCAAATGTCATGTAAAAGTAGAGAGTTTGAGTGTGGATCAACAGCAAACAATTGAAAAATGCAAATCTTTGTGTTTACCAGGCTTATGTTCTCAGCACCCTCCTTTATAGCAGCGACTTTTAGCAGTAACTTAAAGCCAAGAAAAGCAACTGAACAGCTTCCATCTGCACTGCCTCAGATATATATTGGGCATCTCTGGACAGAGTGCTGAATATGGAAGTACTGCTGGTAAACCCCAGCCTGTTTGTCCTTTTGAGTCAGTGGTGATCTGATTGTCTAGCTTATTTGAGCTGAATTGATGAGGGCTGCATTCCCAAAGACATGCTGAATGGGGAGCTTCCTATTGACACAAGACCAATAGGGTGGCCACTTCTGTTATCCAAGGATGTTTGCAAATGAGATCTCACATTGACCATAGAAATATAGAAAGACAGAAGATAAGAGCAGGAGGAGGCCATTCGGCCCTTCGAGCCTGCTCCACCATTCTTCATGATTATGGCTGATTGTCCAGCTCAATAGCCTAATCCCGCTTTCTCCCCATAACTTTTGATAGAGTTGCTGCACAGAAAGCCCTCACTGTTGACTGGGCTACCTGGAAACAAGCAGTCAAGGAAAAAAAAACCAGAGGGGAAATACAATTACCAGACGGCAGAAAAGAGAGTCCAATGCTACCCGTTTGTGTCAGCTGCAGAAGGGACTGCCAGTCATGAATTGGCCTTGAAAACTGTAACAGACCATTCAGAAGTGAATTCAGTCCATCATCTCCCAAGTTGGATGGAAGACATCACTTTCACTGACCTCACGGCCTTCAATGTTGGTACTGGATGTTTTTTAAAGATCCCCAGGATTACAATCTCAAATATCGATAAGCTTAGTGGATCAGGGTACAATTTCAATTGACTACTTTCTTTGCAATTAACTAAGGACTGTACTCACATTAGGGAGACCATTTTCTTATGTGTAAGATTGTCAGTTAAATTTGTTGTAAAGCCATCCTTCTTTGCAGCTGAGTTATTGGAACTTTTTACAATTGGAGTGTTTTAAGAATGGGGAATTCAACACACATAATGGAGGCTATTTGGCTGAATGAGACCATGCTAGCTTTCTGTAGGGCAGCCTGATCAACCTAATTACCCCACTCCATTTTCATAGCCCTGCATGTTTATATCCCCCAGATTGAGTTTCCTTTTCAAATAATTCATTATCTCTCCTTCCAATACCCTTGTAAGCAGTGAGTTCCAGTCATTGTTGCTTAAAAACATTCTCTTATCACATATCCCCGTATTTCTTACACAAAACCTTGCGTTTGTGTCTCCTAGTACTTGTACAATCAGCAAATGAGAACGATTTTTCTCCATTTCCCTTATCTAAACCTATCATGTATACCGCTGTCAAATCTCCCTTCAATCTGCTTTGCTACAAAGAGAACAATCCCAGCTGATTCAACCCAACTTTCTAGCTAAAATCCCTGGAAGCATCTGGTAAATCTCTTTCACACCTTCTTAAGCATTGCCACAACCTCCCAAAGTGTGGTGAGCAGAAATAGACACCACACGCTAGTTGTGACCTAAGCAGAGCTGTATATAGCTTCATCATAACTTACCCACTTTTGTACTATACATATATGTTTATCACACCAAATAATTTGTCTGCTTTGATAACTACTCTCTCAATATGTCCTGCCAACTTCAAAGACTTACACAAATCCTTAGGTCCACCTATTCCTGGATATTGGAATTGTACCATTAAGTCTACATTTCCTGTCCCTTTTACAATAACCAAAAAGCAAAACCTCTCCACTGTCTGCATAAATTCCATCTGTCATTTGTCTGTCCAATTTGCTGGCCTGGCTGTACACTTGTCACAGTTGATTGGTATCACTTCAATGTTTGCCATATTTTAAAATTTGGTATCATGTGCAAACTTTGAAATTTTGTCCTATATTCCTATATCTATGTCATTTATATATAGCAAAAAGATTTGGACCTAGCACTGACCTTGGGGCAACACCACCGCCTCCCATAGTCCCGTCTGAAAAACACCCCATTTCTGAAGAAGGGTCCCGACTGGAAATGTCAGCTTTCCTGCTCCTCTGATGCTGCCTGGCCTGCTGTGTTCCTCCAGTTCCACACTGTGTTATCATTTGCCACTGCTTGTTTTTTTCTGTCCTTAGCCCATTTTGATTTTTTATCCAGTTGACACTGGCCGTTTTATACCATGAGACCTTATTTTCGTTAAGCAGTCTTTTGAAAAATAAGTGCAGAAAACAAGAAAAGTGGGGAAGCTGTACAAAAAATAGAGAAGGAGAAACTTGTGTTTATGAAGCACCTTAACGTTAAGGTTTTGTGATGTTGTGATCCACAGTTTCTGATTATCATTAAACACATGGTGTTCTTTAGGACTGGCTGAAGTTTTTTTTAAGAGAAGATGATGCTCTTGTCATCTGACATTGTACATAAATCTTCAAACATACTTTGTGTAGTCCTTTGAATTGTAATCACTTTTAGAATGTAGTTGTAGTGATTGGAACCATGGCCAAGTGGATTTCATAGTCAATAAGATCCACCCGACCACAGACCCAAACACTACAAACAGACCCAAACAGACACAAACACAGCAGCCATTTTGCATACAGCAACATTCCGGATGTGGCTTTACAATAAATGACCGTTTAATGTATTTTTGATAATGCTTGTTGAGAGGGGAACATTTCAAACAGTGCAGTGGAATTTACCATCCATTGCAGCAAGGAATGAGGACCTCAGTTTAGCATGTCATCTGAATGACTGTATATTAGTACAGTACTCAGTGTTGAAATTTTATGCTCAGCTTCTATGGGGGTACAATGGTAGGGCTTGAACCTACAACTACTCCCTGACAAAACTAACACTGACATAGATATATTCAAAAAGAAGATTAGTGAACTGCATGATCAAAAACTGAATGAATTAGAATTCAAATTTGATTGGAATTAGGATGTTTAATATATAGACTTTTTAATTTGCTCCAGTCAGTATCTTGGATGACATGTTTTCTTAGTTGCAGAAAATAGGTATCCCTTTCTGTTTCTGGGTTACCACTTGTTCATTATGTTTTGACATCCGTTTTTCTGCAGGTGATGAGCAATCAAATACTCTCTCTTTCTTCATTCGGGGCATTGAAGGTACTCATTAATTATAACTTCAGTTTTATTTAAGGAACGTCTGCATAAGATTATAGGAATAAGAAAAGACTTTCGACCTTTCCAATGTGTTCTCCCTGGGCTTGCTTCAGTTCCCGATCTGTCCATTATTTATTTTTATTCTTGAGTCAAATCCATTTTCTTCCACATCCTGTTAAATCTTGAGTTAATTAATCATTTCACTTTAGCGCAAACCGAAGAAGTAGCAGTTTAGGGAGAAATAAAGGTGAGGAAACTGCTTTTAAATTTAAGGCAGAACTCACTTGAAACTTGTAAAATCTAAATAGATTTTAAAAAATTAAAATCTTATTCAAGTTTATTTTTCATTCATAACTTTGAAAATTTGGCAGTATTTTGTAAAGCATATCCCCTATGTCTAGCTTTACCAAATAAGCAGTGGTTGACTTGAGGTTCAGGATGTTAAATTTTTAAAGTTGTGGATGAAGTCATGACAAACTAGAATTAATGAAAAGTAATTTCTTAAAGTACTTGTTTCATTTCCAGTCCAGTGGGTTTTGAGTTGACTCTAGTCACCAATTGGGAACAGTTCAGGACTAGCAAGTGTGCAGATTAAGATTAGTTTCAAAAGTGGCATTAAACCCTTACTGCTATTTCACCAATCTGTAACCAGATTGACCTAATGGCCACAATAAAAAATGAAATAGTCCCCATTTTATAAGAGGTAACGTTTTTCATACTAATATTTCATACTACAAAATTAAATGGCACTTAAGATACACATCAACAATTAGGAAGTATCCACACCTTGCTTGAATGTTCTGTCCTTTCCTTCAAACATCCTGCTTTCCCAGAATACTATAGGTTGAAAAGATATACAGTGTATTTCTGTGGTAGAAATCCCACAGCAACAACTTAGAGTCATTTAAGCTGTTTCTTCTGGGTTTTTGCAAATCTTCCACTAATGATATGGTGGAAAATGGGAGAATCATTAGTGCTTTGACATGTTGTACTTTCACAAATAATGCTAACAAAGGTTGGTCTGGGTTAGAGGCTAGCTCAGTTCGTTCTTATTAAGTATATTGGCTGCACCTTCTGACATTCACATACCTACAATTAAAAGTTGAAATGTGGCAATTTGGAGGCTCCTCTTTTGCTTGACAGCAGCTTGCAAAGCTAGTGCTTCTACACTACTTGTTTGACAAAGGCATGGGTAAAATTGTGCAGGACAGAATGAGGTCCTCAAGTGTGTAGGCAGCTCACTTGACACCTTCACTGCATCTAACAAAACTTCACCTAGGTAGAGGGAGGGTGGATAGGTGGCTTTCATGAGACACACCCTACCCGTCTCAAACCAGCTGGCATGAGAGTGTAAATTCCAACCATCAGAACAGGAGTAACCCCATTGGGGTCACAAGCTCAGGGGCATCAATGGAACTCTTGTGAGACAGTCCTGAGATTGAGCCAAGGTTCCAAGGGAATCTTCAAAACAGCTATGGACCAAACCGTGAGCCCCTGCTCTTCAATTCCACCCATTCCCGAGGTCACACTACTTTAGAAGCATTAAAATGAGGTCACAACATGTAAAGGTTTTGGAAATGCTGCCGTAGAATTTGAGGATTGATTGTAACTCCAGGCCTGGCTACTGCTGGGACTAACAGAACCATCAGCCAAGGCATCTGTCTGAGGCAGGATTTCTGACTGAGTGGCAGGTGGAAGTCCCATAGTTAGCTAATTAAAACTTCTCAGAATATTATCAACTATGGGAGTGCTGTGATTACTGGAGATGCGTTTGTTGTCCTATTTTCTATCTTGCATGTTGACATCCTTACTCACTGACTGCTTAGCTGACTTCATTTGAATACCCTGTGGAATATCAGATGAAATAATTACTTTATTGGAAGTACTGTGCATTCATTTAAGTAAGTTTTGTTTCCAAGAGAGGATGCTATAAATTTTTTATAGGGTAAACTAAATGAGTAGTACTTTGCATCAGGATAACTTATCTCTTTAAGAAAGTAACATTAAACAGATTAGTTTTCATGACTAATCCACTGATTATTGCTGCTCTACATTGATATTAATGTTTTAGTTTAGGAAGTTACATTCAGTTCAATAAATATTTTTTTTGGCAGAAAATGTAGGAAAATCAGCAAATGAGCAAGGGTCAAAATTGGCTACAATTCTGGCAGAAAGAGCAATCAAGGTAAAGACTATTTGCATAAACCGTTGAGTACAGTGACAAATTGAAGAGCTCAGGAGCTTGAATATATAATCTTACCCATTTTATAAAGCTAAAGAAGTAATAGCAAATGAATTGTACATTTCTTATTTGCCAACATTTTGAGATGCCTACTGTTGGACTAAATCATGCAAGTTTTGCAGAGAAATGCTATGAAACAACCTAATTGTATTCTTTATTTAAGTCTCACAAATTTGTGTTTCCTTATGTCATAAATATAAAAAAAACAGATAGGAAAAGCTTCTTTGGATGTTTTAAAAAGGAAAGTGTTAACAAACTAAGTGCTGGTTTTATAGAAAATAACTCTGGGGAATTAGTAATGGCAGATAAAGAGATGGCAGACAAGTTAGAACATAGAACAGTACAGCACAATACGTCGGCCCACGATGTTGTGCTGAACTTTTACCCTAATCCTAAGGTCGATCTAACCTCCACTCCTACCTTATACTATCATCCATATGTTTATCTAATAGCTGTTTAAATGCCCCAAATGAGGCCGACTCCACTACCCTCTCCAGCAATGCATTTCACGCCCCGACCACTCTCTGAGTAAAGAACCTACCTCTGACGTCCCCCCTGTATCTACCTCCAATCACTTTAAAGCTATGCCCTCTTGTAGTAGCTACCTCCACCCTAGGAAAAAGTCTCTGGCTGTCTACTCTATCTATACCTCTGATCGTTTTGTACACCTCTGTCAAGTCACCTCTCATCCTTTGTTGTTCTAAAGAGAAAAGCCCTAGCTCTCTCAACCTTTCCTCGTAAGACCTTCCCTCCATTCCAGGCAACATCCTGGTATATCTCCTCTGCACCTTTTCTAACGCCTCCACATCTTTCCTGTAATGAGGCGACCAGAACTGGACGCAATACTCCAGATGTGGCCGAACCAGGCTTCTGTATAGCTGGAGCATAACATCACGGCTCTTGAACTCGATCCCTCTATTAATGAAAGCTAACACACCATACACCTTCTTAACAACTCTATCCACCTGGGTGGCAGCTTTCAGGGAACTGTGAACATGAACCCCAAGATCCATCTGCTCCTCCACACTGCCAAGAATCTGCCTGTTAACCCTATACTCTGCTTTCGAATTTGTCCTTCCAAAATGAATCACCTCACACTTTTCAGGGTTAAACTCCATCTGCCACTTCTCAGCCCATCTCTGCATCCTATCAATGTCCCTTTGTAACCTAGAACAGCCCTTCGCACTGTCCACAATGTGACCCAGATATTTTGCAGTCTTCACAAGTAGCCTCCCAGCAATAGCTGTAAATCAGAAATAGAAAGGGAGGGAGGAACTCAAGAAAATTCCAATTATCAGATAACTAGTACTGAGTAAATTGTTGGAACCGCGAGTCAGCAAGTCATTAGGCACTGATGGATTTCATCCTAGGGTCTTAAAAGAAGCAGCTAGCGAGATATTTGATGTATTGGTTTTCATGTTCCAAAACTCATTAGATTTGGGGAAGGTTTCTTTAGTTTGTAAAGTAGCTAATATTATTCAAAAAGTGAGGGAGGCAGAAAGCAGGAAACTACTGGCCAGTTAGCTTAACATTTGTCATAATGAAAATGATAGAAGCTATTATTAAAAACATTATAACAGGGGCACATGGATAAGTTCAAGGTAATCAGGAAGAACCAACAAGGTTTTGTCAAAGGGACAGATTAATCTCCTGGAGTTGTTTGAAGAAGTAACTTGTGCTTTGGATAAAGGAGAACTAGTGGATGTGTTGTACTTAGATTTCCAGAAGGCATTTGATAAGGAGCCACATCAAAGATTGTTGTGGAAAATGAAAGGTCATGGTGTAGGGGGTAACATAATGGATAGAAGATTAACTGACTAACAGGAAGCAGAGAATAGGAGAAAATAGGTCTTTTTCAGACTGGCAAGATGCCACAAGTTGTTTGCCACAGGGGTCAGTATTGGGGCTTCAACTCTATATAATTTATATAAATGATTTGGATGAAGGGACAGAAAGTATAGTAGCTACATTTGCTGATGACACAAAGATAGATAGGAAAGTAAGATGTGAAGAGGACATAAAGAGCCTATAAAATGAAGCAAATAAATTAAACGAGTGGACAAAGATCTGGTGAATGGAGTACAATTTGGGAAAATATGAAATTATCCATTTTGGCAGAAATAATAAAACAAAAGCATGTTATCTGAATGGTGAGAGATTGCAGAGAGATCTGGGTGTCCTAGTGCATGAATCATAGAAGGTTATATTGCAGGTACAGAAAGTAGTCAGGAAAGCTAATAGAATGTAATGTTTTATTGTGAGGGGATTTGAACGCAAGAGTAGGGAAGTTATGCTTCACTTATACAATGCATTTGTAAGACCGCATCTGTAGTACTGTATACAGTACTGGTGACCATACATATGGAAGGATGTTAATGTATGAAAAGTAGTTCGTAAAAGGTTTACTAGAATTAATGCTTGGAATGAGTAGATTGCTTTATAAGGAAATGTTAGACAGGCTAGGCCTGTATTCTGTGTAGTTAGAAGATTCAGAGGTGACTTAATTGAAACATGTAAAGTCCTGAGGTAGCTTGACCTGGTTGATGTGGACAGGAGGTTTCATCTTGTGGGAGAATCTAGAACTAGGGGGTTCCATAGTTTAAAAATAAGAGACTGATTATTGAAAACAGACATGAAGAAAGACTTTCTATCAGAGAGCTGTGACTCTTTGCAATTCCCTTCCTCAAAATGCAGTGAATGCAGAATCTTTAAATATTTTTAAGGCAGAGGTAGAGACATTCTTGATTACTAAGCAGATGAAAGAGTATTGAGGGTACGCAGGAATGTAGAGTTGAGGTTAAACTCAGATCAACCATGATCTGATTGAATGGCGGAGCAGGCTTCTGGGGCTGAATGGTTTACTCTTGTTCCTTGTTTGTATGTTCATATTTTCATGCTATTTTCGGCCTGAAAAGCAGAATGACACCTTTCATGGATATGAGTTTGGTTGTTGTTCAAGGAAGTAACAGTAGAATGACTTGAGTTGATTTGTCATCTGTTTAGTTTGCTCTGGATGGAAAGAAAAGCTGCAATTGTGTTAAGCTCCTCCTAACAACCCAAAAACATTTGGCAAGTTGCCAGTGGAATATGTTGTTGAGCTATAAAATAATTAAGAGGGATTAAATTTCACTTTATTTTTCTTGGCAGTCCCCAATCTTCCCAGCTCACTCGCTGAATGAAGCTAGCTGTGATGTGCAGCATGACAGTAAAATGAATCTTGTTGTTTACTGCAATGTGAACTGCCTCCGTATTAGTGTTCTGAAAATTTAGGAACTTATTGATGTGACATGCATCACTGCTAAGACTGCATATGTAGGTACTTTCCAAAGACAGAGGCAGCTACATGCTATGTGTACTATTTTACTGGGGGGGAAACGAGAGAATTTGAATCTAAGGGGTGAATTTTCTGGTGGGCTTTAGCCTTTGTCATTGCACCTATTTTGGTGTTCCAAGGCAGTCTATGTCACCAGTGCCCAGTAACACATCTTAGTGGCCCAGGCACACCATTCCATTAGGACAGCACACTGGTTCCTGAGGCTGGATACTAAGTCAGGGGGCTCACATTGATTTTAAACTGGCAATCCCACTGAGAGAGAGATGGCCACTGCCACAGCAGGCAGGCAAGTGCAAGGGCATCTCAATAGCAGAGATGCCTTAGGTTGCTTCCATTAAACTTATCAAATAAAAGGGCTCAGAGCTGGTAGGGGCAATAGGATGCAGGAGAAATGTCATCCCATTCATATGGCTCCATCATTTGGGTAACTTTGGAAATTACTCTAGAGGTTGAAACGCTGTCCTGACACAACTCACCCCCATTTCCCTGACATTCCCTGCCTCCTACTGTATCCCATGGGAGTAGAAAAAATTCAGCTTGAGTACACAGATGATTAGATTGTTGCAGGGTCAAATAAGACTATTTTAGCAGATTATTTGAATCTTGCAGTTCACTAAGCAATTATGGGTCAGGAAGACTATTTTGTTTATCCACATCTCAAATATATCATCCATTTGTTTCTTGCATGAGTCTGGCCTTTACATCTCCACTACCCTATCATGTATTGACCATGTACCGTAATACTCACTAAACCACTTTCAGCAGAGAAATCCTCTCTGAAAAACTTGTTTCTTTCTCTTCTCTAAGAAATCGGTCAATGACTTGTCTACATTGCCTCCAATTGAATATTTCCTTTTTGATTCATTACCAACACCGGATCTATCTCTATGTTTTTGAGGAAATACTAAACAGGTGAACATTGAGTCTAAATGGGCTCCATGCCACTTTTTAGGCATTGATAGTTAATTATGCAATCATAGTAAATCGGTTAAGCTAGTTGTAGACCTGGTGCACACTTAGAACGTACAGTTTATCCTTTAACTTTGTTGACTTGGCAAGGCCGTTAAATGTTTATTGGCATTGAGTGATCCTGTGCTGAATTGTGGTAGTGGCACTGATCTCCTTTCTCTTTTGTTGTTCTATACTGCTCTGCTTGGGGCCCTCTATTTATCCATTCTAACTAGTGCCTTTATTTTGCCCCCTACTTCCTACAAAACCTCCTCACATGGCATTTACAAATCTCGGAACTCTGTGCCCTGCCCTCACTTACATTTCCAGATTCTGAAATTTATGCCCTACTCTCAAAATAAAGCTTCATACTGTAACTCCTTTCAAGTTATTACAGACCCTTAAGACGACCAAGCAGCATGCTGCTTCTGGTCCTCAAACAGGCAAGATCTGAGTGAAATTTCTTTATCTTACAATCTCCGGAGCTCACCAGAATGAATGATGTTGACTGAGGAAATTAAACCAGGATCAGTGTTAGTGAATGAATTCGCGTAGCATACTTCTACTTATAGTCTTTCTGCAAAGGAAAATCTAAGCTCCTCTCCAGTTAAGACTTGTGTAGATTACATTGAATACATCTTAATTGGGCACATAGTTCTTGGGACAGTAATAATTTTACTTTAGACCTCAGAGAGAAATGTTAAGGCACTCTCCCAATGTAAGTCATTCCCTCTTGCTTTTTCACAGGAAAAGAAGATTTTTACAATCATTGGCTACTATCCAGTAATTAGAGCTAGCCTAAGGAGGAGGGGCTGGGCAGAGAGGATACTTCCAATACTAAATGAAGTGAAGCTCAAAAATGGAGTCAATGAAGGTATCGTGAATGAATCTCAATCAGGCAAATTCAACACTTAAGCACTTGAAGGAAGTGCAGAACCGAGGAAGGATGTGAATATTGCTTTCTTGATTCTTTGATTCATGTTCCCTTTGAGCCTGTCCCCTTCCTAATTAGTCAATTCAATTATTTTACCCTCACTCTTATTGGAGGAATTGTTGGAAATCAAGTCAATGTTTGGTTAAATTTCAAGATTTAGTCTCAAGTTGTCCATAATTTTCATAAAATCTGTTATAGCGTCTGGCTCGGTTCAAATGTTCAGAGGTGAACATCTTAATATACTAGCGACTATTTTAAGATTTTACAATTTAATAATCATACTTACCACCAAAAATAGATTGTCATGTTAGCTTTTAGACAGATGAAAAGTGTTGGCTTATATCAAATTAGTCTGATTTACCCTTTAGTTACAATGCAAGTGATTTCTCACAGGTGATTCCAACATAGAATCCCTATAGTGTGGAAGCAGACCATTCAGCCCATCAATTCCACACCTACATGCTGAAGACAATCCCACCCAGATCCATCCCCCATCCCTTTCCTGTAACCCTGCATTTCCCATGGCTAATCCACCTAGCCTGCACATCCCTGGACAATTTAGCATGGCCAATCCATCTAACCTGCACATCTTTGGACTGTGGCAGGAAACTAGAGCACTTGGAGAAAACCCACAAAGACACAGGGAGTCATCCAAGGCTGGAATCAAACCCGGGTCCCTGGCGCTGTGAGGCAGCAGTGCTAATCACTGAGCCACCGTGCTACCCTGTTTCTTGTATGACAATGGGGGCTAGCAACAGAAGATTCATGGGAAGGATGGGGTCAGGTACTTCAGCTGCTAGTTGTGGGCCCATCAGCTGCCTTACTGATGTACGAGGACTCTTGTAATGCAACTTCCATGTGGGCAAAAAAGACACAGGCAATTGGCCTATCTACCTGGTACAGGTGAGAGGAGGCTTCAAAGTGCAAATTGGAACCTTTGTGGACTTTTGTAATTTTGTCTCATGCTATTGATTAGAAATTTTCTCTACAATGGAATGTTGCACAATTCAGAAATGTTCACTATTTTTGCTAAATAATTCCTAAATTAACCTGACTTTCATAGTTAACTCAGAACTGAATCGCCAGAGCATCAGAATGTGGGCTACAAAAGAACTAACAAGAAACGAAAATATTAATCAGGCCAATCAAGCAGGTAGGATGCAAGGAAGAGTCCCTAACAAATCTCATTAGAATCCACAGCTGTTTTTTCTTTAAATGACTTGTATATAATTGAAGTATCAGTTTTCTTTGTCACTATGCCCTCAGTGTTACAGCTTGAGTTACAGTCGTTTGGACAATTTGAGAGCATTTCATTACACTACAGCTGACTTGTGCTTTATAAATGGTAGACAAATTTTGGGAAGTCAGGAGATGAGATAATTACCACAAATTACTCTACTGTTGACTGAAACTTGTCATCATTGTATTCGTATGCAGGTTATATTAAGTTTCCATTCAGTTGTGGTCTCCAAGGTGTTGATGGTGGGGAAATACTATTGAATGTCAAGGGGGGATTGTTGGAATCTCCCTTGTTTGAGATAGTCATTGACAGGTCAGGCAAGACAGTGCCACTGTGACAGTATAGATTCAACAGCACAAGCAAGTACAGTTCTGCTAATGCCCCACAATGCCTCCAAGTCTGTCCCTTTTGTGCTGCTAGGTCAGTTCTAAATCTATCTTATTTGGCATGGTGATAGTGTCACATAACATGCCGACATACATATGAGTGTACCTGTTTGGAGCAGAGTTAGGCCATTTGATGAAGGGTGCTCTTAATGTGAAAATGGGAAATCATCCCCTCCACAGTGGTCGAAAACGTTCTCGACCATGTCTCTCGCATTTCCCGCAACTCATCCCTCACACCCCCTCCCCGCAATAACAACCAAAACAGAATCCCCCACGTCCACACCATTAGACACTCCCTCACACAGTGACACTATTACACACTCCCTCACACAGACAACACTCCCTTCCTCACACCAACCTCCGCATCCAACGCATCATCCTCTGACACTTACGCCATCTGCAATCCGACCCCACTACCAAAGACATTTTTCCCTCCCCACCCTTATCTGCCTTCCGGAGGGACCACTCTCTCCGTGACTTCTTTGTCCGCTCCACACTCCCACCAGCCCCACCACCCCCGGCACTTTTCCCTGCCAGCGCAGGAAGTGCTACATCTGCCCCTACACCTCCCCCCTCACCCTCATCCCAGGCCCTAAGAAGACCTTCCACATCAAGCAGATGTTCACCTGCACATCTGCTAATGTGGTATACTGTGTCTGCTGTTCCAAATGTGGCCTCCTCTACATTGGGGAAACTAAGCGGCGGCTTGGGGACCGCCTTGTGGAACACCTACGCTCGGTTTGCAACAAACAACTGCACCTCCCAGCCGCGAACCATTTCAACTCCCCCTCTCAATCCTTGAACCACATGTCCATCCTGGGCCTCCTGCAGTGCCACAGCGATGCCACCTGAAGGTTGCAGGAACAGCATCTCATATTTCGCTTGGGAACCCTGCAGACCAATGGTATAAATGTGGATTTCACAAGCTTCAAAATCTCCCCTCCCCTAACCGCATCCCAAAACCAGCCCAGCTTGTCCCCGCCTCCCTAACCTGTTCTTCCTCCCACCCACTAGCCTCATCTCGCCTCCTTGACCTGTCCATCCTCCCTGGACAGACCTATCCCCTCCCTACCTCCCCACCTCCCCACCTACATTCACCTTTACTGGCTCCATCCCCGCCTCTTTGACCTGTCTGTCTCCTCTCCACCTATCTTCTCCTCTATCCATCTTCTATCCACCTCCCCCTCTCTCCCTATTTATTTCAGAATCCCCTTCCCCTCTCCCAATTCTGAAGAAGGGTCTTGACCTGAAACGTCAGCTTTCCTGCTCCTCTGATGCTGCTTGGCCTGCTGTGTTCATCCAGCTCTACACATTGTTATCTCAATCATCACATCAGCCCCTGTCTCTCCTAATATTTCCTTGGACAGATGCACAGTAATTGGTGAGGCCGTGATCAAGTCGATTGATTCCTGGCTTCTCTGCAGGAAAGAGAAGGAATTAATGTTTCAAATCCAATGACTCAAAACATTAATTCTGTTTCACTCTCCACAGATACTGCCAGACTGCTGAGTTTCTCTAGCATTTTCTGTTTTCACTTGGTAGTAGAATGATTTGGGAGTGTCCCATTTGCATCATAAGAATTGTGGATGCTGAGCCAGTGACTTGTTGCAATACATTTTATTCCAGGTTTATTTAATTAACTGAATGCAAATTTCCCTGTTTCCATGGTCCAATTTCAACCCACACCTCCGGCCAAGGTCTTCGAATATCTCGTCTAGTAACATAATCATATACATACCCATATTTTGTAGGTAGTCTTACTTTTTGTGGTTTTGTGACAAAAGTCTTCACAAAGCAAATAAGTTTGCATTAGCAAACAGGAATCCTTCAAGATATTTATGACAGGCTATGTCTTTTTGTCTCTGCAACTGCAGCATATGAACTCTTAGCCAGTGCAGTTGCGGTTCATGTCATTGCCAGCAACTAAGTCTGCTCTCTGCTGGACTACGAACCATGTAAATTACTGCTTGTGTTTTTGAATCTATAGTGTCACCAAGGCACTGTCTCACATATAGCTTCGCTATCTAATCCAACAAAGCTTGAACCTACAGAATGGTGAGTAGGGAGGCAAGCAGGAAGGCAAAGGGTATGGCAGCCAGTGGCTAGGGGGTAGACCAGTGGGAGGAAGAGGGAAGAGGCTAGCAGCAAAGAAATGGCATCTAGTGGGATAGCAAAGAGGGCAGGGGGCTGACCAGCAGTTGTAAGCATTAAGGGAAGGTGGCAATGATGGGTGGAGAGAGACAGCAAGAACATGTGTTCTACTTACAGTTCCTGTCCCAATGTGATTTGGCCACACAATGACAATGTGAATGACACCAACTTCTTTGGCAGGAGATACACTATTGTAAAACATCAGTTGCATTGAGTTAAACAGAATTCTTAAAATTGTGACAAGAAACTGAAATAACTGCTCAGAGGTTAGCATTCTAGCACCAACTCATTCTTTATTGTGCACAGTACACTGGCTACAGCCGGCCGGCCAGTTTTGGG